TGGGCATTTGGCCCCAAATAATCCCCAAATTTAGGAATCTGAGGAGAGAAGATCACTGAGTTTCAGGCCACCTGAGCTACATTATGAGATTCTGTCTCAAAATATAAAATAAAAAATAATAAATCCAAAAGAGAGAACTGGAGATGTTGCTCGGCATTGAGAGTACAAACTGCCCTAAGTTCAGGTGGCCACACCCACATCAGGTGGCTCACAACACTTCCAGGGATTCCAACGCCCTCTAAGTCTCTAGAAATAATGAAATGAGACAGAAGCTATGACTGGACAGTAGGGTCTTGCCTAACAAGCACGTGACTGGCCCTGGGTTCAATTCCCAGCATCCATCTCCAAAGAAAATATAATAAAGCTTTCATTAGCTGTGCAGTTCAATTTTTTCTGCTGTCAAACAAAACTGTAAAAGAGGCTGGAGGTGTAGCTCAGCTGGTAGAGTCCTCATCTGGCATCGCAGGAAGCATTAGAGTCAAACCCAGCAAGCATGGCAGTACAGGTGTAACCCATCCAAAAGGTCATTTCAACATGCCATCCGCTGGTTGCTCTATTGGTGGACTGACTGATTGACTGATTGAAGGTCTGGCTATGTAGCCCAAGGTAGGCTTGACTGTGTTTGTCCCGGCCCCAGATTCCTGAGTTCTGGGATTACAGGTATGGAACACCACACCAGGCTATAAAATATTAATGAAATTTATGAAAGTAGCATTTTTGTGCTGTTTTTGAAAGTTGACATGCATTTTATAGCCTCGATTCTCACCAGCCACACTGTGAATTCTCAATGACCACATGTGATCAGGGTTGTATTGGACAACACAAGTAGAGAAGGGTGGGAAGTCTTAGGACAGAACCTAGAACTCCAAACATTCTAGGCAAATCTCTGCTGCTGAGAGACCCATCCCCACTTTTTTTTTTTTTTTTTTGAGACAGGGTCTCTCTATCCAGTCCTGGCTGTTCTGGAACTCACTATGTAGACCAGCCAGCCAGCCTCAAACTCATGGACATCCTCCTGTCTCTGCTTCCCAAGTGATGGGATTAAAGGCGTTTACAACCACACCCAGCCTAGGAGGGTTAGGTCTTGTAGACCTCCTTGCAGTTTAAGGTGACTCTTTTAAAATACAACTCTTTTTTAATTTTTTTTTTCCAGACAGGGTTTCTCTGTGTAGCTTTGGAGCCTATCCTGGCACTCGCTCTGGAGACCAGGCTGGCCTTGAACTCACAGAGATCCACCTGCCTCTGCCTCCCAACTGCTGGGAATAAAGGCTTGTGCCACCAACGCCCTACCTAAAAATATTTTAATTTAATTTAATTTTTATTATTTTTTTTGGCAGTCTCATCACATGGCCCTAGCTGGCCTGGAACTGGTTAAGAAAACCAGGCTGGTCTCAGACTCACAGAGATCCACCCAGCTATTATTATTATTATGTTTTAAGTGTGCATATCTGTGTGTGTTTGTGTACATGAGTACAGGGTCTGCTGAGGCTAGAAGAGGGCATCGAATCCCTTAGAACTGACATTCTCGTCACCTCTGGGCCTTATGGCTAAGATCAGGTGTAGAACTGACATTCTCTGTTGTAATCTCATTCCTGTTTACTCTAGATTTTTCTTTTGCTTTACTGGGAAAGGAAGGGGTTGTGCAGTTTTAAGATATTACTAGGGGGCTGGAGAGATAGCTCAGCAGGTATTACTCTTTCTGTCCTGCCTGACAGTTCCCAAATAATGGCTCTGAGACTTGTTATTATTTATGGAAGTTTGGCCTATAGCTTAGGTTTATTTGTTACTAGCTCTTATAACTTAAATTAACCCATTTATATTAATCTACGTTCTATTGTGTGGCCTTACGTCTCTTCCATCTTGCACCCCCTGTTACCTCTCCGTATCTCCTGGCTTTTTTCCCTTCGTGCCTAGATTTCTCCTCCTCTTCCTCCCCCCTCCCCTGAAATCCTGCTTATACTTCCTACCTAGCTATTGGCTGTTCAGCTTTTAATTGCAACAATTGAAGCATCTTCACACAGTGTACAAATATCCCACAGCAGACTCTTGCAGAGAGTGTTCAGTTCCCAGCACCCGCAGCATGCGGCTCACAGCTGCCTGTAACTGACCAGGGAACTTGACACCTCTGCCCTCAGGCATACACACATACACATAATTAAAAATAAGGAAAACAATCTTTTAAAAACGATCTATTTTTTTTTTAAAGTTTTACTAGTTGCTTTGATTTACTTCTGTAAAACTAAGTGTGCAGTGTTTGGGATGCAGCCATGAGTCCCTGAGCACGCACAAGGGAAAACACCAAAGTGTCTCAAAATGGTACAGGGATTCTAAATTTATTAAGGCCTTTTTTTTTTTTTTTTTTTTGGCTCTTATTTGTCAGAGAGCTAAGATTTCCTCCTTGGCGCTGTTATTTCTTCTGGGGTGGGAAAGAAGGTCTGTTCTCTTGGTGCCCTGTTATTGTTCTGTCTTGACAAACTCCATCCGGAGAAGAGCAGATTTTTTCTGGCTGAGGGCCACATGTGGTGGAAAAACCCTTTACCCCAGGCCCCCTCCTAATCCATTGGACAATCCTCTGACTACTGACCAGGGTCACCAACCCCCATGGTGACCTTTGGAGGGAAATGTAGGACTGCTGACCTCTAGAAGGAAAGGAGGGGCTGAGCGAGCCACCATGTCCCGACTGTCTTCTGCCGGGTGGACACTGCTAAGGTGCCCTGCCCTTGCTGTTTGCACTCCTCCTCACTGCCTAAGGTCAGCCTTAGCACCTGAAAAACGCTGAGAAGACCACAAAGATTCCCTCAGGGCCAAGTTGGAACTTTCCAAGAAATTTTAAAGATTTCAAATATGTGTATATGTGTGTATGCACATGTGTTCTCATATCCACAGAGGCCAGAAGAGGGCATGCATCCAGCCATCCCCCATCCCCCCCCCCCAGCTGCAGTTACAGGCGTTTGTGAGCAGCCAGATGTGGGTACAGTTTCCTGTACCCACATCTGGCTGCTCTGGTTCTCTGCAAGAGCAGCAGGTGCTCTTAACTGCTGACCCATCTCTCCAGCCCTGTTTTCTGGGAATTTTAGTGCTTTCTTCTCACTCAGGACTGCCCTAGGGGACAAAGGTTGCTCAGCGAGGTATTTTTCACCCGAATATTCGTTTCTATCCGAACAAGGCTAATCTAAATTCCTGAAAACTAGAGTTACTTCTTTGAAGCGTAAA